CAGCCCCTCCCAACGCCCCTGTAACCCCCTCCTTTCCCCCTCATACTACCACTCTTCCGCCTCCTAACGTGTGTGTACACACACACGCGCGCACGCACTCTACTCATCTCGCCTTTATACTCATTCCGCCACACACCACATGTGTTTTCAAATGATGACCTTCTCTTACGAAACTCAAACGGGGGCTCGCAAGTATTTGGTTTCTTCGCCCAGCGGCCAGCTTCGCTCTTGGAGTCCCCCTGCAGTTGTGACGCAGCGCAGCCCGAGCGCTGCCCTTCTTGGTTACCTCTTCCTTGGCAGTGGATGAGGTCCCACACGAGGGGTGGCGGGGCGCGGGCCACGGGGTGTCGTTGCCCGTTTATTGGATGCGTGACCTGTTTACACGGGCTTCCATCGGGAAGTGCATCCCCCCCCCTTACCTTTCCCCTCGTAGTGTGGGAGGAAGTGAGGGGGGAGGCGGAGGGGGGAGATTGGAAGTGGTGTGGCTGCGAGGCGGCGGTGGCAGGAGCAGTCCCGAACCAAAGGGAAAGGTATAAAGAGAAGTGATATGTGGCGCCTGGTGCCTCGCCCCCGGGCACTGGCACACCTACACACACGCACACGCACCCCACAAGTGCACTCGCGCACTCGCACACATGCGCTCAAGTCTTTTCTTTACGCAACTTTCAGGAAAACATAATAGGCACAAATCTCTCTGTGTTTCTGCGAAACATTTGGCATCGAGGGGTCGTCAACTTCGATATTCCTCCGTACACGGACTGATATTACCCTCAAATATTACACCAATATTAGCCATATTACTGGTAATATTACTTCGATATTACACATTTTTCTAGTTTTATGACGTCACAGCTTGAAAATTGGCTCAATATTACCAATATTATTTGTAATATTCAATATTCCTCCGTACACGAGTTGACGACCCCTCGTTTGGCATTGAACACGGTGGCGTTCCGTTAGATATTGACGGATATTGATTGGTGTCCTCAGTTCGACACTTTGCAAGAGAAAACCGTTCCTTGTATCTAAACGCGAGCTTGTCAGAAATCGACCAACTTTTTCTGTCTTTTTTTTTTTTGTATTTTTTTTTTTTTAAATGCCCCCTATTGTTTTGTCTGATTTCTAATTGCATCCGTGTCCTCTTTTTTGTTGCAGTATTGAGCCTTCGAAACACCCAGGAGGAGGAGCCCCCTGATCCGCAGCTCATGAGGCTGGACAACATGCTGATCGCGGAGGGGGTGGCGGGGCCGGAGAAGGGGGGCGGCGCGGGGGCGGCAGCGTCGGCGTCCGCGGCGGCGTCGGGGGGCCCTGGGCAGCCGGACAACGCCATCGAACACTCGGACTACCGGGCCAAGCTGGCGCAGATCAGACAAATCTACCACCAGGAGCTCGAGAAATACGAACAGGTAAGGGAAGGAATGATGACAAATGATTTGGTCCAGCAGCTTCAGCGGCGCCTCTGCTGTTATCACTGTTATCGCGCCCGGCCACCGCGGCGCGCTCGTTCCCGCCTGCAGATTCAATTTGCCCCCCGCGGGCGGGCTGGATCCCGGCGCTTGGGGGATCCGCTGGGTTGGGGATCCTTGGGGGGGATTACAGAGCCGGCCCGCCCGCGCCGGAAATCCGTTGTCTCTCTTTAATTCTTTTTGCCAGCTCTGCCCCGGCCGGCAGGGCCGGAATATGGCGCGGGGGCTTTAATGCTGGTAATTTATATCAACGGATTTCTTCTATATATTTATTCTCCTGTCTGCCCCGCTTCCCTCTGCAAACCGGACTCGGGAGCTGGAGGGCTCGGTGCCGGGAGACAGTCTGCGTTTAGGAGGTGCTGTAGGGCGCCAGGGACGTTGTGGTAGTATGCGCCAAACCTCGCGCCCGCTCGCATACTGCTTTGCTTGTCGATTTCTAGGACCGGCTGTGCCAGGCCAGCGGTGCCCGCCGCGCTCTCCACCCTGACAAGTTCTGTACCAGGGAAAGAGGGAGGAAGAGTGGGAGGCAGGAGGCAGGGGGTGAGGGAGAAAGGGAGAGGCGGGCAGGCCTTCCGTTCCAAGCATTTCCAGAATAGAATGGTGGCAGCGAAGGGCGAATTCGAGAGACATCTCGTGTTGGGAGAGGGTCGGCGACCAGGGGGACAAAGAGAGAGAGAGGGAGAGAGAGAGAGAGAGAGAGAGAGAGAGAGAGAGAGAGAGAGAGAGAATATCCAACTCGGACCTAACCGGCCCGACCCCCATAAAAGTATAAAAAGTAGTCGTGAATACCGCCCTTGCCGCCCTTGCGCAGCGCACAGCCCCGGCGTCGCCCGCTGGCCGGGCGGCCGGGGTGTGACGGGGAAGCCCCACAACTCAAGTCTGGGACCAGACAACTGCACCGAGGTGTGCCGTGCCCACCCAAGGTCTGCCAGGAGACCCGAAAAAGGAAAACCCAGTAGCACAAAGCATTTCTACACTACACGCTGTTGTAACTCTTATCTTGTTTGCATTTCTGTTCGCTTGTGGAACATGTGTGTCAACAGTTGCGGCAGCAGAAATCGTCACGTTATTTTAATTTTATTTTTTTTATTTTTGCACTAGTTTTCCTTTTTTGTTTCGGCAGTGTACCGCGTCCCCTTTCGCCGCTCGCCCCACCTTTTATTCCCTTTCACTCCCAGCGAGTGCGGCTGGAGCCCCGGCTCCTCGGTTCAGTCGCTCTTTTCAGAAAAGTATTCGTAATTCTTCTGTTGGGTTTGTCGCCCTTTGATGCCGCGCCCGCCACGCGCCGCCACCCTGCGCGTAAAGAAATGCAAATTGAATGGCGTGGGCCGCCCCGCCCCGCCTCGCCTCGCCCCGCCCCGCCCCGCCCCGCCCTCTGGCTTTGGGTGGCGCGTTACTCCGCTGCGGACTTGGCGACTCGCCTACAGACGGACGGACAGGCTTTCGGTCAGGCCGCCAGGAGAGGGACACGAGCGGGTGCAAGTTGTTTTCTCAAGGACTTGATTATTGACTGCGTTTTAGAATAGTCCTGGGCTAGAAAGCAGTCTGAACGAACGGACGCTAGACATCCCGGGGTGTGGAGTGGAGCGGCCAGTGCGCCGCCAGCTAGGCCGACCCGCCGGGCACGCGCGCGCCGCGGGTCTGCCTACCCCGCTGTCTGCAGGCGCCCGGCGAGCGGGCGCGGGTGCGGGCCTACAGCCACAGCACAGGAACAACTTGGCACGCTTGGTTTCAAGTTTATAACTGTAAGGTTTTGACCGAATAGAGAATCGTAGAGAGCGAATGAGAGTTCGCCTTACAGTGCACTTCGAAATGATTACAATGAACAGGTTCCTATCATTGCAACGGGTATTTTTTGCAGCTTGCAAAGAATTTTGAAGCTGTCTAATGCGAACCTGTTCTTTGCAAGCTTGCTAACTATTTCTTTGCAAGCTTGCAAACTATTTCTTTGCAATGCGAACTCATGGTTTGCACGGATCCTGACAGCTTGAAAATAATTTCTTTGGAACGAACTATATGTTTGCAATTCGAACCTATTCTTTGCAAGCATTTTACAGTGGTGCAGATGTGCTGCGGCAAACACCGGGTGGATACATACCAGCACTACACTGCAAAATGCTTGCAAAGAATAGGTTCGTATTGCAAACTATTTTCTTTGCAGCTTGCAAAGAATTTTCAAGCATCGTAATACGAACTAGTTCTTCGCAAGCTTACAAACTATTTCTTTGCAATGCAAACACATTGTTTGCAAGGATTCTGCCAGCTTGCAAAGAACTTCTTTGCAATACGAACTAATTCTTTGCAATACAATGCTCACAAATTCTTTGCAACGTTGCAAAGAATAAAGTTTGCAAGCATTTTACAGTGTAGCAGCACTGTATAAGGCCGGCAGGCACACCCAGCTCCGTATAACTTACCATAACACGAACGAATGTTAGTTACCCAACGTAACTAAACATATGTCGCAAACTAAAAGTTAAAGCTATCTTTGAAATAACCGTACGTTCTGTGAAGGAATGTTGAAAACAAAACGAACAACGAACTTATTTCCAAAGCACTACAGTAAAAGTTTCAAATTATAACGCTTAATATAACGTTAAAGCGTTAAAGGCCGTTACGTAATAAGTTGGAGGTCTAGGCACATATATTATTGCACACATTTAAACAATCATACCTGGTGACGACTAACTATATGCAAAATGTTGTTGTTGTTGGTGTGTCGGAGTGTCGTGTGACAACCTACTGCTGAGGATGGGGTGCGGGCTGAGCGGTCCAGACGTGCGGGATGAAGCGCTACACGCAGCAGTCGTAAAGCTGCCGACGGTCGTTCCTTTTACTGCTCTCCCCCACCCCCGCACCCCGCTCTCCACTTGCGGAACACTTGACACTCTCTTCATTAACACCACCACACGGCCGTATAACTTTAACGGTCCTGCCACCGGCACATTGTCACAGCATCAGAGGGAGAGAGAGAGAGATGCCCTGCTTTATGAGATGAGCGACTTTACAGCGGGCGAGGGCAAACGGTGGTAAACAGTGTGGGAGTGAAAATGAAATGGGGGTTTGTTCATTGAGTGAGTGGTTCTTCTCGGGTGCCCCCTCGCCGCCCCTCGCTCTCACGGTAAATACTTGACGAGTTTTCAGTCTTGGCTGCTCCTTGCCTGTTTGCCTGTTGCTCACTGCACCTGACACTGCTAACCCCCTCCCACTCTGCAGGCTGCAGGACTCCTGCCGCCGTTACTCTCGAGAGGAGGGGGTCGCATGCCGCTGTAAACTATAGTTTAGACACTAAAATCTTCTGAATTTTTATTCGTAGCTTACTGAGTCCTGAAAACATGCTCCGCTTACGCATTTTTTAAATACGCTAGTGTGAAGAAAAAAATAAATACAACCTAACGACATGTTAAAACTACCGTTTATCGAAACAAATTTAAACAGTAAAAATTTGATAACAAATTGCAGGAGGGGTGACAGAAAGACGTGGCACGAAATTACATCGCCAAATACATCGATTTTTTACAATATCTATTATAAGTGCTTTTCCCCACCCCCTCCTTTTTTTATCAAACTTTCATAGAATGTAAAAAATTAACCCTAATTACTAAATCGTAGTCGGTCGGAGGAACCAATTTTTTGTTTCGCACAACCCTTATTCGGTTTTACTAAACGGATCAATGGGCGCAAGAAAGTCGATTCTTCTTCTTTGCCGTGTACCCTGTCGCTGTTTGACTACGGCCGCCCGTTCCTGGTGATATTGTCAGTCGGAATGTCGCGCGGAATGCGTGAGGGAG